TAGAAAACAACAAAAGGATTCCCATCTTTGAATAATCTTCAGTGAATACATTAAAAATAGAAGCAAATCACTCTTCTGTACTCATCAAAACCTTAGCCTCTGTCCCTTCCTCGTCTGCCAGCACCATCTCCTCCACCACATGTACCCACGCCCAGCTCCAGGCCTCGGCAGTACCACTCAGACATTCAGAGACCCTTGAAAACACATGCCTCAAACCATGCCTTGGCAACATTTAAAATCATGCATTAATAAAAAAAACATGGGGCCTCCCAAAATACATATAGGAAGGCTGGGTGTGGGGGCTCATGCCTGTAATCCTAGCACTTTGGGAGGCCAAGGTGGGAAGATTGCTTGAGGCCAGGAGTTTGAGACCAGCCTGGGCAACATAGCAAGACTCCATCTCTACAAATAAGAAACAAAATTAGCTGGCCGTGGTGGCACACACCTGTAGTCCTAACTACTCTGGAGGCTGAAGCAAGAAGATTGCTTGAGCCCAGGAGTTTGAAGCTGCCTTGAGCTATGATCTTCACACTGTACTCCAGACTGGGCAACAGAGTAACAGAGTTAACAGAGCCTGTCTCTAAAATAATTATTATACACACATATACAGGTATATTATAAAATAAACATATGTTTAAAAAATATAAAAAAGGGAACGAAATACAAAATGAAATTCTCTGGTTTAATACCGCTGCTGTCTGTTTCTAGATAGTATCTCAGGTTAATGGGGTAACTATTTCCTTATGGTAAGCAGAGTTCTTAAGATAGCTGCCCAAGATTCGCATCCCCTGGTTATTCTGTGAAACAAAAATCTAGGTATAGCTGCAATAGGATTTTGCAGATGTAATTTAAGTTCCAAATTAGTTTACTTTAAAATACTGGGATTAGCCCAGAGGGCCTGGCCCAAACCAGCGAGTCCTTAAAAAATAGTTTTTCGAGCAGTGGCTCAGGCCTGTAATCCCAGCATTTTAGGGAGGCTGAGGTGGGTGGCTCACCTAAGGTCAGGAGTTTTGACACCAGCTTGGCCAACATGGTGAACCCCTGCCTCTACTAAAAATACAAAAATTAGCTGGGTGTAGTGGTGCACACCCATAATCCCAGCTACTCAGGAGGCTGAGGTAGGAGAATCACTTGAACCCAGTAGGCGGAGGCTGCAGTGAGCCGAGATCACCCCACGGCACTACAGCCTGGGCCATAGAGCAAGGCTGTCTCAGAAAAAAACAAAAAACAACAAGAAAACCCTTTTTCTCAGCTGGAAGCGGAAGAGGAAAGTCACAGAGATTCCAGGGGTGAGAAAGATTCAAGAGTAATTGCTGGCTTTGAAGGCGTAGATGGGGGAAGCTCATGAGAAGGAGAAGCTGCCAGGCCTCTAGGAGCAGCCAATGGCTTCTGGCTACAGAAAAAAAGACTTCAGTGCTATCGCCACAAGGAACTTGGTCCCTCCAGCGATCTGAATGGGCTTAGAAGCAGCATCCTCCCCCGACCCCCCAGGTAAGAGTCTAGGCTGATGAATACCTTGATTTCTGCTTTACTGGGACCCTAAGCAGAGAAGCCAGTCAAGTCCACCTAGACTTCTGACCTAAAGAACTGCAAAACCTATGGAATAAGTGAAATGTTGTTCTAACTTCATAAATGTGTGATAATTTGTTACACATCAGTAGAAAACTAATACATCTCTTCAGTTTTTGTATCACTAAATAAAGGTAATAATGTCTGACTATGCCCAAGAACCATTTGGAAAACAAATATTAATAAGATTTAATTAATATGTTTTAATCTAAACAGAAATGTATTAAATTATTTCCCAATGCTGTGATTTTTAAATTAATTATAATACCATTGAGGTTCAATCCAGGGCAATTAGACTGTTAAATCCTAGTTAGGTTTGTTTGCTCCAATTCCTTGCAGTTTCAGGGCAGGGCTGACTTTAAAGCCTCCTCATACAGGTTTAGAGCATGGAATCGTTTGCTGCAGAGGGACATGATTTAACTTGCAGCTTTTTCTTTTCTTTCTTTTTGAGATGGAGTCTTTGTCTGTCACCCAAACTGGGGTGCAGTGGTGTGATCTTGGCTCACTGCAAGCTCTGCCTCCCAGGTTCAAGGAATTCTCCTCCCTCAGCCTCCTGAGGAGCTAGGATTACAGGCATATGCCACCATGCCCAGCTAATTTTTGCATTTTTAGTAGAGACGGGGTTTCACCACATTGGGCAGGTTGGTCTCAAACTCCTGACCTCAGGATCTGCCCACATAGCCTTCACCAAAGTTCTGGGATTACAGGTGTGAGCCACCATGTCTGGCCTAATTTGAGGCTTTTTTTGAAAAAAAAAAAAAAAAAAAAAAAATCAATTCACCAAAATGTAGTACATTTTGTCGATGTTCTGTTGGATATTACATGTACCTGTCAAATACAGGGATTTTTTTTCTTAGTGATATTTCCCATTCTAAAAAAACTTGACCTTAACTTGGAAAACCTGTTGAAATTGGGCAAGCGATTCCTGATCTTGAGAAAATTAAGAAGAGAAGAAGCAAAAGATGATCATACCTCTTTTAATAAACTTGATCACTGAAATAAAAGAAAACCCCAAAACCAGGCAAAAACATGCTGACCACATAATCATTCCCCAAGCAGATTGAGATTCGACGGTGCTGAGCCTGCTAACCCAGACTTATCCTCTTGAGAATAGATAACCAGGAAATACTCCAATGAACATCAGACCAGGCCAGATCTAGTTTAAACAAAGTGGTCTAAGGAGAAGCAGAGGAAGGTAGGAGTTAAGTAAGCAAGAGATCGTATACAGAGTGAGAACATTCCACTTTACGAAGTTGACTTCATATACAGGATGAGGAGATGGAAGAAGCATAGCTTGGTCATTAAGTCTGTATTGGTCCTAGGTAAGTGACTTAAAATTCCCCGAGCCTCAGTTTTCCCATGTCTAAATCAGGATAGTTTTTCGGTGTTCTTTGCTCAGGGACCAGGACATGGAGCCTTCAGTAAATCTGAGCTGCATTAGGATCCAGCAATCTCATCCTTCCGCCCTTGATCTGGAGCCCCAGATAATCCTTTTTTTAACGGATGCTAATAGCCCTGCTAGCTAGACCCAAGCATCACATTCAAAGCAAAAGACCACAGAGGACAGCATTCAGGCTAGAAGTCTCAAGCAAGCCCTCCCTTAGGACAGGGAGAGACAGAGTGGGAAGGGCTATGAGAAGCCAACTCTCCAGGCAGGAGTGGGGCACTGACCAGATTCACAGAAGGAAGGACCTACAGACAAATATTCACAAATAAAAATCTCTTTCTAAAAGAATCCAATTTTCTGGTCCAATCAGTTGACAATGACTTGGCCACTGAAGATCATATTTTTCCAACATGGTCCATTTTCTTGGCTTTCCTAAGTCATTAATTATGACCATGTTTTCCCAAATGTGGAAATTCCCCTTGCGCAGATGCAGCCGCTGCTGGCCAACCCTCCTTTCCTGAGAAGTCACCGCAGCACAAAAATATTTTTGTTTTCCCCAATTGCCCACAGGGAAAATTTCCTCACTCTTTTTTTTTTTTTTTTTTTTTTTTTTCCCCGCTCCTCCTTTAAAACCCTCTGGCAATTTCCAGGAATCTAAACCAGAATCACTTAAATCACGAAGGCCCTTTTAGATGTCCTACTTCTAACATGACAAAAAAGAATCTGAAATTCACATTCAATTATTATTAAACCAATCCCAAGAGTTCCTTTTAATAAATGAAGGCAATGCCACTGAAATCAAAACATCTCCCGCTCCTGCCTAAAAATATAGCTCTCGGACTTGGGAGTTTAAATTATAAACAGTGGTAGCCACTGTTATATCTGACTAAATTAACATTATGTGAAACATGCTTCATACATGGTAAAGCCCTCTACAAATGTAGGCATTTGGCACCAACATGGGGACGGTGTACAACACAGATGATTATTCAGATTTTCAGTTTGTATTCGAATGTGTTAAATGAATTACTCCAGTTACCTTGTTCATCCTGTGGGTTTACCAAGGTACTTTGCACAAGGCTGACAACAGTGGAGGTACTCCAGGAGCTATTTTATCCTTTTCTGAATGTTCAGCGAGAAGCACTTCTGTGCCAGCAACTAAATTTAGTTGGTGGGGAAGTGGTGGTATAGCGATGAATCAGACTGAGTCTCTGCCCTCAAGGTCTTTAAAATCTAGTAAAGAAAGCATGATCTACACACTAGCCCAGGGATTCTCACCCAGGGACAATCTCTCCCCTCCCCTCCACCACGGGGACATTTGACAATGTCTGGAGACACTTTTGATGATCAAAACTGGAAGTGGAGGTACTACTGGCGTCTGATGGAAAGAGACAAGTGCTGCTGTTGAACATCCTATGATGCCCAGAACAAAGGTTGATCTGGTCTAAAATGTCAACAGTGCCAAGGTGGAGAAACCCTGAACGAGCTATATTAGCTAGAGTGAAACACTTACTGATTGATTGGTTAACTAACTGATTGCTATTGGTCCACATGGCAAATGACTTTCACCCGAAGAGCCTAGTCATTTTGAATTTGTACCTATTATAAGTGTTAATATCTTTTGAAGACATGAGTACATTTAGAAGGTGCTGAATGAAGCGTAAGATAAAGTGTCACCAGGCAGAATGAACGACAATTTAGAGTGAATTGTTAACCCAAGAGGACAAAACATTTCTAGCTTGATGTCAAGCATATAGTAACTGGTCAGTGAATATGCACTGAGCATATTCAGATAACTTAGCAACATGCATTTACCAGAAGTTAAAAGAAGAGTCAGACCATTAACACAGTTCTACTTGTAGTACAAACAGTGGTAGCCAAAATGATTAGTGTTGTATCTGAATCAAATAGCATTATGTGAAAGGTGCTTCATACATAGTAAAGCGCTATACAAATGCAGGCATTTGGCACCAAAGTGGGTACAGTGTATAATACAGACGATTATTCTAGTTGTAAAAATGAGTTGGGTGAATTACCCAGTTACCTTATTCACCTTCTGAGTTTTACCACGGTGTCTAGAAGTAGCAGCCTTCTTCTTGAGACTTCTTCACTACAGACTGCTAAGAACTGTATACTGTAACATGGAGAGATACAATCATGTAGTTTTATATTATAGCATTCAAAATTTTCACTAATTCAAACTGGAGCTTCCTCAATATGCCTGAGCGAATGCTAATGAAGGATGAAATTTTAAACAGTAAAAAACTGAGGCAGAGCCAGGCACAGTGGCTCACACCTGTAATCCCAGCACTTTGGGAGGCTGAGGTAGCTGGATCACCTGAGGTCAAGAATTCGAGACCAGCCTGGTCAACGTGGTGAAACCCTGCTTCTACTAAAAATACAAAAATTAGCTGTGTGTGGTGGCACATGCTTATAGTCCCAGCGTGCCTGTGATCCCAGCTGCTCTGGAGGTTGAGGCATGAGAATAGCTTGAACCCAGGAGGCGGAGGTTGCAGTGAGCCAAGATGGTGCCTTTGCACTTCAGCCTGGGAAACAGAGCAAGACTCTGTCTCAAACAAAAAACAAAAACAAAAACAAAAAACTGAGGTGGTCACCTCATGAATTTAGAGAAGGGAGAAGCAGTGTTTTGGAAGTAGGGCCTTAACTCCTTCACATACAACATGGCTTCTTTTTAAATACAATAACAGTAAAACGAAGTAGCAGCAGCACTGGCTTTAATCTATTGCTTAATATGCATAAGCATTAATAGTGAGAGAATGGTTAAGTGCTACTCTCAGTTAAGGATCAATTAAAAGTAAAATTCTCTCTTTAAATTAGAACACATCAGTGGAAAAACGGGACTTAATTTACTAAAATTATTTACACTGTCGTGTTTCAGGAAAAATGGTCAGGTAGTCCAATGTGCTAATTCTTTGAGATAAACAGAGCTATTGCATGGAAAATCTGTACTTTTGATTAAGTAATTATCTTCAATTTTGATATAATGGTTACCAAGGAAATATTGGCTTTCTTCTTCCACCTATTTGACCTGCATTTTCTCAGCGTAAGTTGGTGACTAATTCAGGAAATGGCATCTAATTTTGTATTAGCATTAGTCAAATGCAAGTAGGAGGGGGAACTACCAGACACATTTTAAAAAAGAAATAACGAATAATCTGCCATTTGGATATTCAGTATCAATGTCTGTTGAATTTCACAAAGATAATGGTCTCGATTTTTGCAACATAAAGGAGCAAAGTTTTCTTTGAGTTTGAAAATTTCTACTTAAACATTTTGCTCAAATAATGAGTTTAATGAAGTTTGTTTAGGAGTGAAGGAGGGGGAATTTTACTCTTTCCTTTTCATAAAGAAATAATTAAAATCTAGTTGGGCCAACTGATGGCAAATAATTCATTCAAATATAATAGGCGTGGTGCAGGGACTGACACCTGTAATCCCAGCACTTTGGGAGGCTGAGGCAGGCAGATCATCTGAGGTCAGGAGTTTGAGACCAGCCCGGCCAACGTGGTGAAACTCCATCTCTACTAAAAATGCAAAAACCAGTTGGGCATGATGGCATGCACCTGTAATCCTGGGGTCGAGGGGGATCGCTGGAACCTGGGTGGCCGGGGCAGAGACTGCAGTGAGCCAAGATTGCACTCCAGCCTGGGTGACAGAGCAAGACTCTATCTCAAAAAAGAAAGAAAGAAAGAATTAAATAAATAAAAATTCCTTCACCCCAGTAAGTGAAGGAATCTCAGGGTAAGAGCTTCTTAATAAATAACTGGGGTCAAATATAACACATTAGGCCAGGTGTGGTGGCACATGCCAGTAGTCCCAGCTACTCAGAAGGCTGAGGCAGGAGGATGGCTTGAGCCCAGGAGGCAGAGGTTGCAGAGCCGAGATGGCAGCCCTGCACTCCAGCCTGGGCAGCAGAGCAAGAACCTATCTCAGCCGGGCGCAGTGGCTCACACCTGTAATCCTAGCACTTTGGGAGGCTGAGGTGGGTGGATCACCTGAAGTTAGTAGTTCAAGACCAGCCTGGCCATCATGGTGAAACCCCATCTTTGAAGAAAAAAAAAAAAAAAAAAAAAGCAACATATTAAAACAGTTAAAAGGCCAGGTGCAATGTTGGGCCTGTAATCCCAGCACTTTGGGAGGCTAAGGTGGGTGGATCACTTGAGGTTAGGAGTTTGAGACCAGCCTGGCCAACATGGCAAAGCCCTGTTTCTTCTAAAAATACATACACACACACAAAAAAAATTGGCTGGGTGTGGTGGGGCACACCTGTAGTCCCAGCTACTTGGGAGGCTGAGGCACGAGAATCATCTGAACCCCGGAGGCAGAGGTTGCAGTGAGCCCAGATCACACCACTGTACTCTCCTGGGAGATAGAGCGAGACTCTGTCTCAATTAAAAAAAAATTAAAAGAATAAAAGTTGACTCAGGAAAATATTTCATGTGCTCAGAAAAAGAGGTATAACTAGTAAAAATGGCCCTTGATATAATACATAAAGGCCTTATCAGTAGCATCCCCCTTCACTGATAATGAAAACATATGCCCCTTTCTTCTCCAAGGGAAGTGGTTATGGCTAAGCAAGAATAATATTCTACAGTAAATAGTGAAACGAAGCATTTGTGTTGAAGAAGCCAAGAGTTCGAGACCAGCCCAGGCAATATAATGAGAACCCATCTCTACAAACTATTTAAAATATTTTAAAATCATCTGGATTAGCATGCACCAGTAGTCCCAGCTACTTAGGAGGCAGGATTGCCTGAGCCCAGGAGTTCAAGGTTACAATGAGCTAATGATTGTGCTACTGTGCTCCAGTCTGGGCAACATATTGAGACTCTCTCTCTCTCTCTCTCTCTCTCTCTCTCAAATGTGAGTTCAATAGAAATTAGCGAATATCTTTATTTTCTTTTATTTGTCCATGATCTAACCTTCAATTCCACTATATCTAAAACATAGATATGTTTCCTTGGGCAACTCCTGGACTCAAGGGATCTTCCTGCCTCAGCCTCTCAAAGTGCTGGGATTACAGGCACGAGCCACCCTCGCCAGCCTGGACTCACATTCTTATCATTGCTTATGGACTGAGAATTCTAATTAATTCCCTTTCTCTCATAACTTTTCAAATAAAACAGACACGTAAAAAAGTCAGTTTTGGAGCCTCTCACAATTAGACCATCAACAATAAAATGAGGCTTAGGTTGCTTCTCAAAATTCTAAGTTATCTCTCATTTCCACATCTGAAATGATATTCCCCTAACACTATGATGGTTATTTTTAGGTGATGGGACATAGGGTTGTCTCTTCTTCTTTATAATATTTTGCATTGTTTGAATTTTTTTTTACAATTCATGAAAGTAATAGTCATTTAAAAAAAACTTCTCCATTCAATTTACTTAGTAAAATATATAGTTCACAGTCTTCTACCTTCTCTCCTAGCCAACGGATTTCCAAAATTTGCTTTTAAAAAATTCGACCCCACTTTCATCATTACAACTCATTTTGAAACAATCTCCCAGAATGGAAAGAAAGGATATTTGACTATTTTTACAGCACACGCTATCTTTGAAATTTTTTCCTTTGTCTATTTTTGCTCTTTGTGTTGTCACATTTAGTTGTTTCAGAATCCTGCTGAATACTTCCCAAAGTATTCAGAAGGAATACCACACTATGCAAAATTTAGGTAACTTGGGAACGCTTTGTTCAACTTTATTCTTCCGTAAAAAAAATATATATATATTTTTTCCATGACACAGCCTCAGGGGGTCCTGATGGCATGTGTCCTACTTTGCTCTACTTAGTATTTGTACATGTTGGAATATAGCTTAAGACAAGGTTCCTACGTAAAATCATCTCAGAAATTGTCTTTTGTGATACAGGTGTCAGAGTGGCAAAGCAGGACAAATTAGGAAAAGATTTGGACAATATTGTGGTGTTGAGGCTTTTGCATTCTTTACACAGTCCACCTTTTCAGGGTCTGGCCTTCATGGTGTTATGAACACCACAGACCAATAACTCTTCTAAGTGTCTTTCAGTCAATGATTCAGTCTCGCTGCATGCTGGATTCTGGCTCAATTACAGAAATTTCAAAATAGCTGGTTTTTAAAATGAGTCTGGCGTGGTGGGGTGTGCCTGTAGTCCCAGCTACTCAGGAGGCTGAGGTGAGAGGATGGCTTGTGCCCGGGAGGCAGAGGCTGTAGAGCTGAGATAGTGCCACTACACTCCAGCCTGGGCAACAGAGCCAGCCATTGTATTTAAAAAAAAAAAAAAAAAAGCTGATTTTTAAAATGCTGGCAATATTACATTAGAAATCATTCATACTTTTTTCCTCTTTTTTGGCATTGTGGTTATAATGCCATTCGTGCTCTATATAAAAGTGGGAAAATGAAAAAGAGTTGTGTCATTGGAAAATTTCAAGTTCAGTCTGGATGACTATCAAGCATACTCTAGAACGGAGCATCCATTTAGAGAAAACTTGACTAGGGAGACCTCTCAAGTTCATCTTTCAATCCTGTGCTCTTGGCCAGGTGCAGTGGCTCATGCCTGTAATCCCAGCGCTTTGGGAGGCTGAGGTGGGAGGATTGCTTGAGCCCAGGAGTTGGAGACCAGCCTGGGCAACAGAATGAGACTCTGTCTTTACAAAAAGGTTTTTTTTTTTTTTTTTTTTTTTTTTTTTTTTTTTTTTTTTTTTTTTTTAGTTATCTGGGCATGGTGGCACACATTTGTAGTCCCAGCTATTCAGGGGGCTGAGGTGGGAGGATTGCTTGAGCCCAAGAGTTCAAGGCTGCAGTGAGCCATGATTGTGCCACTGCACTTCAGCCTGGGCAACACGGTGAGACCCTGTCTCAAAAAATCTAATCAATCAAGCCCATGCTCTGAAGTTTATCCACTTATCTTATGGTGGTAATGCACTATTTTGGAAGAACAGGAGTCTCTTCTGGCCATGTTCTTCATTTTGTCTTGATTCTGAAGCCTTTGTGTGTGTGCCAGCTCTGAGAATTAAACAGAAGAGGATGGGGCATGTGGAAAAGTATTCCTAGGAGACTCGGAGCTGTCCAGCAGTCAAAGGAGCTGTGCACAATGAGACTTGTCACAGCATTTGGAACAGGAATTCAGAGAGGCCATTCTTGACCAGGGAGAGGGACGTATATGTATACATCTATATAGAAGTCTTTGCTTACCCAACCCATTCCCAGTGGGATTTCTTTTTTTTTTTTTTTTGCTGCTTTACATGTTGCTTTTTTCTTTAAATGGGACCAATGGACTTCTAAATTGTACAGAAAAATAAGAGAGAAAGTAATAATGTAAAGAGGGAGCTAGAAGGAGAAGAGCTGAAGGGGATGGAAGGCAAAAATAGGACTCCTCCACTGTACAAGCAGACTTTCAGTTCAATTTCAAGCTATTTAGCAAACACGCACATTCTATGTAAACATGCCCTATAAGTAAGTGCCAGTCTATGCCAGCTTCATTATTTACATTTTGCAGTCAGCAGTCATTTTAGTACTCCATTTTGGGAAAAAAAAATGTGCCGAATATTAGCTTACAAAGCCTCCACAGCTTTTTTTGGTATACAAAAATAAAAATAAAAAATAAAGTAGATTTGGCCTAAAAAAAGTTGTTCAGCCTTTTATCCTTTGCAAGCGACAGATACATTCACTTTAACGAATGCACACTTGATTGATGTTCTAGAGAAAGATGTAAAAATCCTTAAGCTTGTTTATATATTCTTATGGATACTTAGCTGTATTTTCTTGTATCGCCTTATAAAGAGGAACCCACATTTACACAGGCATCCTAGATTTGAAGGGAGGAACGGAATATGGGGAACATCGCGCCCTGCTTCCATGAGTTATGCAATTCAGTAGTAAGCCAACTTTACAGGTGAAACAGCTGAAGGCGGAGAGGCTAAGTGTGCCATAATTTTTAATAACTTGAAAAATTACAAATTTAAAAATAAAAAAATTTAATCAAAAATGGATATTTAAAGTTTCTAAAAAATTTACACATTCATTGTAGAAAATGTGAGAAATACAAAAATACACACGAAAAAGAAAAAATTATCCTGGTGAAACTACTGGTAACATAGTCTCCCAAACACATATGAAATATGTATGTGGTTACATATATATTTCATGCTCAAAATATTGAGGGGGAAAAAGGCAAAGTAAAAGAGTTGTTAGCCCATCTTTTCCAAATTGGGAATCGTTGTCCACATTCTTTTTTTGTTTTTTAGATGGAGTCTCGCTCTGTCACCCACAGTAGAGTACAGTGGTGCAATCTCAGCTCGCTGCAACCTCCACCTCCCGGATTCAAGCGATACTCCTGCCTCAGCCTCCTGAGTAGCTGGGATTACAGGCACACACCACCATGCCTGGCTATTTTTCATATTTTTAGTAAAGACGGGGTTTCACCATATTGGCCAGGGTGGTCTCAAACTCCTGACCTCAAGTGATCCACCCACCTCAGCTTCTCAATGTGTTGGGATTACAGGCATGGGCCACTGCGCCCAGCCCGCTGTCCATATATGTTAATTGCCTTCTTTAACATGTCTCCTCTTTCCCTGGGACCTGTCTCACAATAAATCGTAAATGGGGTGCCAGATCTTCCATTTAAAAATAGCACCAGGTTTGTAGGTAATTCCTTACCTTTCTTTTCTTCAATAGAGACCCAGGAAATTGTAAAAGAAGCATGATACTGCAAAACACCTTTGTTTTTGCGAGGTAACTTCGGAGGTGCCCGTGTTGACAGCTGTAGTCAGTCACATGCTTACCAGAACAAAGAGCCCTACAAAGGGAGAAGTTAACTTTAGCTTTGAAAATCCTTTTATCCTTCATGATTGGATGCTTTTAAATTTGTCACCTGAATGCGATATTAACATAATCGTCTGCATTTCAGCTAATGAATGCACCTGCTTCTAAGACTTTATTTTAGCAGTTTTAATGAGCTCTTCAAAAGAGTTTGCCTGGACTTACTGCATTGCTAGAGAAATAGCAGCTGTAAGCAACTAACAACACATTCAGTATTTGAATCAAGCTCTGTGAAGTTGTTAAACTTGGGAAGGAGTATCTATCCATCTGTTTGTGATCAGGGAAATGAAAATTGAGATGTGCCTGTGGCATTTGAAAAAAGCACTAGAGTAACTGGGTCTGGCCCAAGAAGGTTATTCTCCGATTGGCTGTGCGTATGGATCTCAAGCATATGGTTTAAATGTATTGATTGAAACTAAATTCTAGGTTTCTTATCTATCTAATAATGGCACCCACTTATAAGCTTGTAAGGATTAAATATCTCACCTGCTATATGTACTCATTAATATTAGATTTTATAATTACATGCTTATTAAGAAGATGGGACTTTACAAGGGCCACATACACTATAAGTCTATTTATATGAAATATCCAGAATAGGTAAATTCACAGAGTCAGAACATAGATTGGTGGTTACCAGGTGCTGCAGGGGGGAATTGGAAGCAACTGTTTAATGGACATGGGATTTCCTTTGGGTATGATTAAAATGTTTTGGAACTAGATAAAAATGGTGATTGCACAATGTTGTGAATATACTATATGCCTCTGAATTGTTCACTTTAAAATAGGTAATTGTTGGCCGGGTGCGGTGGCTCACGCCTGTAATCCCAGCACTTTGGGAGGCCGAGGCAGGTAGATCACAAGGTCAGGAGATCAAGACCATCCTGGCTAACATCCCATCTCTACGAAAACTACAAAAAATTACCTGAGCGTGGTGGCATGCACCTGTAATCCCAGCTACTTGGGAGGCTTAGGCAGGAGAGAATTGCTTGAACCTGGGAGGCGGAGGTTGCAAGGAGCTGATATTGTACCACTGCACTCCAGCCTGGGTGACAGAGCAAGACTCCGTCTCCAAAATAAAAATAAAAATAAAAATAGGTAATTATCTGGGCACAGTGGCTCATGCCTATAATCCCAGCACTCTGAGAGGCTGAGGTCGAGGTGGTGCGAGGGGAGGAGGATTGCTTAAGCCCAGGAGTTCCAAGACCAGCCTGGGCAACAGAAGGAGACCCTGTTTCCGGGGAAAAAAAAGGCAAGAAAAATAAATAACTTATGTAATTTTATATTATGTGAATTCTACCTCGATAATTTTTAAAAAGGGCCACTTGCTGTGGCTCATGCCTGTAATCTCAGCACTATGGCAGGCTGAGGGGGGAAGGTTGCTTGAGCCCAGAAGTTTGTTACCAGCTGAACAACATAAGGAAACCACATCTCTACAAAAAATTTTAAAAATTAAAAAAATTAGCTGGGCATCATGGGTGGATGATAAGAGTTGGGGAGTTGAGACTGCTGTGAGCCAGGACGGTGCCACTGAATTCCAGTCTGTCTCAGCAATAGTAATTTTTTAAAATGTGACTTTAGATGGATTCAGTAAATTCCATTTGATGGGCTGTAGGTTGTAAGATGGTTCTTAGATAAATAATTGCTCATCAGGACATACAGTAAGGGGAAAAAAACTATCTCCTAAGTAATCAGGAAGACTGTTTCATTGCTGAATCATACCTTGACTCCACAGGGAAGACACTGACCAATCTCTGGAAGTCCAAATCCCTAAACAATTCTGTAAGCCATTTAAAATTTTTGAATATCATATAGAAGCTAGCATATTAGAATACTTATTTACTTCCAATATATATTTTAATACTTGTTATTATATAGTCAAATTAATTCCATGCTTATTACACTCTGATTTCAACATCACATTTTCATAATCTCCCTCCTCCTTTTCTTCATGTTCCTGTGTATATTTTGAGTAGTGGTAACAACCCAACCAAAACTCAAGTGAATGGAAGACGAAAAACATAGGGAAAATGTTGCTTTAAAAATACACACAGCAGGCTGAGCGCGGTGGCTCACTCCTGTAATCCTTGCACTTTGGGAGGCCAAGGCAGGCAGATTGCCTGAGCTCAGGAGTTTGAGACCACCCTGGGCAGCATGGTGAAAACCTGTCTCTACTACAATACAAAAAAAAAAAAAAATTAGCCAGGCATGGTGGCAGTTGCCTGAAGTCCCAGCTACTTGGGAGGCTGAGGCACGAGAATTGCTTGAACCTGGGAAGCGGAGGTTGAAGTGAGCTGAGATTGTACCACTGCACTCCACCCTGGGCAATAGAATGAGACTGTCTCAAAAAATAAAAAAGAAAACGAAATAAAAGAAAATATACACAGCAGATACATTACAGACCAGTTGGAGGTAACACCCGGTAATGAAGATGCTACAAATTTTGATCTTTTTCTCTCTGTAAAATTGGTAACACAAAGGCAAGATAACTGTTAAGTAAATGGAAAATTCTTCAATTTCATTTTTATTTCATCTCAATAAAAGTGAGGCAACTATTCTAGCTAGGGTGGAAGTAATTTATTCTCTGGACTCCTTTCCTTCACATCATCCTAGTCAACAGTTTTCCCTCATTATTTCAAGCTGGTTCATTGGTGTTTCACTCACATGCCACAACACTGGAGAATCACTCAGAAATCAGGACCATCTTGGGAATCTTCGCCAACTTGATGCAAGAGTTTCTCTGGAAAGGCATTGATTTCTAGAAGTCCCCAACTTGAATCTGCTGGAGTAAGCAGCATTCTCGCAAGTGCCTGCATTCCCGCATTTCAAGAGATCCACTTTATCCAGACTTGCACGGGGCATCTCTCCAGAAGATATCCTGTTCTACTTTTAGACCTTAGCTCTGTAACCTGAGAAAACAACCCCATGGGGGCTCACGTCCAACCACCCTTAGGCAGTGTTTTGCTACCCAAGGGGAGCTGACCTTATACCGACGTAGACTTGCTGTCTATGGCCTAGCTAATCGCAACGTGGTCCTCAGGAGGGCAGCATCACTGTCACCTGGGAGCACAGAGTCTCTGCCTCCACTCCAGGCCTATTGAATCAGAAACCTGATCTTAACAAGGTTCCCAGGTGATTCGTATGCATTTTTAGTTTTAAGTAGCAGTGGTCTTAGGGTCCTGCCTGAGTTGCTTTTTCCAGCAATAGAACTCACCATGTCCTGGTCTAAAGCTGTATCCATCTATTTTCCACTACCAGTCTCTACACAGATTTCTCTACAGTGCTCCAGGGTAAGCCATCTCTATTTTGGATGAGTTCCCAACCAGTGGGTCGTGTAGCAATCTGCATTTCTATGATTTGGGTGGTCACACAAGTAGATTGCACAGCCTCCCACTAGCCTAAACCATACCCATTCCCCTCCAAGTCATTTTGGTCTCCCTATTCCCACAGCTGTAGTATTACAATGATCATAAATTATTGTTAAAGAAGAAAATTACCAAAAGAAAAAAAAATAGTCTCTATAAACCTGCATAGTTTAGAGCTAAAGAATATGTTAAAATTTTCCATCGTGGAAATTTCCCAGCTACTGGGCTCTTTAGATTTTTTTTTTTTTTTTTTTTTTTTTTTTTTTTTTTTCAGAGCTGCAAGCAAAGAATGGAAATTTCCAATTGCAGCATCAAGGGCTGCTGTTCTGCTGACTGTCTTGCTCAGCCGGGGTCATCTGCTTCTCTAAGACATCAAGGAATGCCAAGGTAGGTCTGAGAGAACACACATACTTCCTCTGCAGGAAGGAAGGGATTTCTTTATGCTGCCTCCAAGCTGTAATTAGGGGAGGGGCAGGAGAGGTGACATCCCCTGCTCCATCCACCTGGATGTGGATTTTGTTGTTACCACCTCTCAGCAGCTCATCCTACTTGACATGTTTCCAGTGGCACCTGGCTGGCAGGTTTTTCAGTTTATAAGAAATTCTTAATGTGGTGGGAGATCCAGAGAGAGGGAGGGAACCAACGTTTTTGAGGTCTACTCTTCTAAGTAACCCACCAGGTATTTTATATGTTGTGTCATTTAATCTTGTCACCCTTAACCTTCATTACGTTTAACCTTGTGACCCACCCAAGGTTAACTTCTGATTTTCTGCACCCAAATTTTGGAAGCATCATTTGTTCTTCCTAAGACAACCCTATCGCCTGCAGCCCTCCTATAAACCAGTTATCTTCAAGCATCCCGAAGGTTTTGTTTCCACCTCTTCAGTAACATCAACAGCTCCGGTCCTTTTCATTATATCTAAGGTGAAAGATATTTCCATTCACAGCTGGTCCTGATGTCTGAGTCAACAGGCATCTAATAGTTCTCTAAATTCTGTCATGTTCCTCCCCACTCACTACTGCTGTTACTACAGAAGTCTGATGGTGGCTGCTCCACAAAGTCCGAGTTTAAAGGCACTGGCGTCTTACAAACAAAGCTAAGGACCCTGGCTGGCTCTAGGCCAGAAAGAACATTCTCATACTTAGGCTGTGTGGTTTTCGTCTGGGTGGTTTGGAAGTTTTGCTTTTTTTTTTTTTTTTTAATATAAAAGACTTTTAGGGAGATTCTGAAATACTCTAAGAAGCAAGAGCTATCTATGTTTACTCTCTTCTTACAGACAGCCCTATCATACCAGAAAAAGAATTGCTAAGGAGGTCTTCTGACATCACCGTTGCTATTTATACATAACATCATTTATTGAGGCAAGTTTGGTAATAGCGAAGATTTTCTAGCAATAAATTTTTAAAAATCATCACATGGCTAGTAAGTTAAAAAAAAATTCTCCCATATCTGTCATTTCAATCACATCCATATCCATAGACGGCAATGCAATCTTTGAATACAGTGACCAATTTTAACACCACCCCATGATGAAAGCGGAGGCAAATGGGGATCAGCCAGAATATTGTAGGTCTGTTTAGACTTTAGTCTCGAAAGCTAACGTTTAGTTAT